AGAAGAAGAAGAAGAAGAAGAAGAAGAAGAAGAAGAAGAAGAAGAAGAAGAAGAAGAAAAAGAAGAAGAAGAAGAAGAAGAAGAAGAAGAAGAAGTAATTTTAGAAGCGTGACCTCCGAGTTTAACGTCCAAGGCTAAAACAGCACCTGGACATTGATGGCTGGTGCCTCTACAAACAAATCATTGATGGTCAAGTTTAACGTCAATGTCTGAAAGGACCAAGCCAAGTAGGAGGAAATTCGTGAGTAAAGTGTCTCTCCCGAGGACACAACGTCGGACTGAGCTGAGGCTCGAACCATGGAACCCACAATCTCACGATTACGAGTTTGGTATCCTAACCATTTGACCACCGACGCCAGTAATGTGTGGGGGCAGTGCTTTACGTCCCCATCGATCGACATAGTTGAAATTCGAAGAGTCATGCTTCAACCCAACCGGTCTGGATCAACCCAGCCTGAGCTGAATGCAGAAGTTCCGTCAGAACGTCTGAGATACTCGATAAAATAAATGTGTCACGACGCGGTGGAATCAGGCGCTCGCCATTTTTTGAGGCATGTGGAATTATTGGTATCATCTTAAAGCTTGTTGATTTGACTTGATTCCGAAGAAAAAAATACCCACTTTTTCCTAAATACAAGTCAAAATATTTGCAAATGAAGGAGGTGGCGGTAGCCTGGTTTCAGAGGTCAAATTAGCGAAAAAATAGCCCCTAAAATTTAGTTATTTCCATAGCTTAGGTGTCCATGGAAACAGAAAATTTAAATTTTTTGCGCCTTAAAAAAAATCGATAAAAATTGCCAACCAAACAGAAAAATGCCTGTTTCTTCAATTTCATTATTATGACGAGCGCCTTATTTCACCACACTGCATCACAAATTATAATTACCGGTTATTTCTCGTGTCCGAATCGAACGTCCGTCTCTTGCGTTGCGTTATCCCTTTTCTCATTGCTCGCGACCATAACCGAGTAAGTGCAGGAACATTGATCATGAGAACATATTTCTTTTTAAACGTAATTTTGTTCTGATCATCTACCAGGATTGCTCCAAACATTGCAGAGGATTCTTTTATTCTCTTTTAATATACATACATATATATATATATATATATATATATATATATATATATATATATATATATATATATATATATATATATATATATATATATATATACTTGGCGTAAAAAAAAAACAGACACCCCTTTTTTTGGTGTTTTTTGTATTGAAAGACTGATTTTAACCAGAAACAATCTCTCTATAAAGAAAGTTTGAACATTTTACAAATCAATTACACAAAAAACAATTTTTTTTAATGAACTTTATTTCCTGAAAATGTGATCTTTTAATTGTAGGCCCTAAAATGAAAAGTCACAGTTAATACTGCGTATAGCCGCCTAGGCATTGGCGACTTCTGTGCAGCTCTGCCGCATGCTTTGCACAAGCCTTTGTATGGGGAGCTGTGGAATGTTGTTCCATAATAATGTTTGTAAGTGCTGTACGTAGCTGTTCCAAGGTGACCGGCTGAGGTCTAAGGCGTCGGCGCACAGTCTCCGTCCCTTCCACTCCCTGGCTGTCTTGGTAGCAGGCCGGAAGCGATCTCGTAGGTGCAAGACCCGAATGTACTGGTCAAGGGCTGGTGTTGTAGCTCTAGGACGACCCGTCCGGGGACCATCCTGCACGGATCCAGACTTCTGCAAACGATTCATTAGTCGATATATCGTGTCTCTTGTCACATTGAAGGTCCTTGCAACATTCGCTACTGGTGTATTGGCCCTCAGCATACCAACTGCCTGATTGCGCTCTTCGTTCGTTAAACGCGGCATGCTGTATCTTTAGATTTAGACGTTTTGAAATGAAACTTTTAACGTTTTATTCTTGGCTACAGATAAAAGATGTGTTAAACCCATGAAATAAGATTTAAAAAACCAAAAACGTTCGAGAAAAATGACAAAACACGGTTTTTAACAAAACAGGACCCGAGCTTTATTAACTGGGCACCTGATCATAAATGCAGGTTGATCAGGAGCGTCAAGTGTTCACAATCATGTGTGGAAAATTTCAGCTCAATGGGTTTTCAACTTTTCATGAAACACGCAATTAAAATGTGTCTGGTTTTTATTGACGCTAAGTATATATATATATAATCGACTCTGGCCGTGCAAGTGTGTGAATATTAATTTTTTTCTAAGTTGGTAAAACGCGTAGTTTCTTTCTTATTATTCTATTTTCCACAGATGCTCAATTTTGTTTTAAGCGTTCTTTTTACATACAGTAGTATAACCACTCCCAGTCAGATGCCTTGTGTAGGGTGTCTAAAAAAAGAAGACACACTTAAAGGGTAATAACTCAAGATCATATCTGCACAAATTTCAACAAAACTTCGGATAATTAAGATTCAACCAAGGGGATATTATGTTCCTAATATGAAGGAAATCGTTTGATACGTTCAAGAAATATCAAGTTTTAAAATTTCAACCAAAAATTGGTAAAAAAACCCGCAAAATTTCACTTCTTAATTAAAAGCGTTCAGCTACAGGGACGGGATCGCCCATTCTGATTTCAAGACAAAGACCGTAAAATCACGACAGTCAAATCAGATGGATGTCTCGCTGTGTTGAGAACGTTTTAGAGAGGTTTGGGGAGAGGGTGGTATATTGTAGAGGCTTGGTTCCAGTGGGATGGGGCCACACCCCAAACGCCTTTGTATGGTTGCTAGAAAAGTTTGGAGTACACCTAATAAGACGGAAATTTACAAAAATGAGTTGTCACTACACCCCCCCCCCCCCCCCCCGACTTGAACCTTTTCAATTATTGCTTTGGATTATGTTGGACTGACAGAGTCTCTCGAGGGGGTTCGTGTGGCCTAGAGGTTAAGGTGTTCTCTCATTCAAAGGTCCCGGGTTCGAATCCGGGTAGCGACCGAAAAAAATTTCTTCTCTTAAATTGTCTCCTTTCACCTCATTTCCTGCTCTCCAATAATGTTCTGTAGTCTGCTTTCGTCTCCATTTTCTGTCCCCACCCCCTCACCCCCTTTGCCTCCTCCTCTGGGCTCCTGACTCTTTCTGTAGCCTTTCTCCTGCTTCTCCTTGGCTCCTTCTTAGTGCTGTCTTTCAGCCACACCCCTGATCTTCTGGTAGAAAAGATATACACCTAGCATTCTCGGACAAGGGCGAAAAATCTAAGTTAAAGATCCCCTTGGTGGTCTAAAATCGATGTAGGCTTCGGCCGCCACCCGGCCAAAGTTTCCAAAATTCCTACCAACTGAAAATGTTTAAAGTGTTCCGCGCGCTCATAATAATATGACCTTATGCAGTTGCGAGCGCCGTAAGACACTTACCCCCAAAAAAGAGTCTACGGAAACAACCTATAATAAGCAATCGAATTGTTGAAACTCAATGTTGAACAGAAGGTCCAAAGAATCGACTCAATATCCAGTGACATATTGGCGCTTGTTTGGAGAGAAATTGGCAACAGCTTGAGATTCAAATAGCCCTGAGTATATTTTGCAATATCAATTTTAAATTAAATGTGTTCTTCAATGCCCAAATGGTGGTTGACTTTTAAGAAGTTGCAAAGTTTTGCTTTTCACTCGATTGTGGTTTAAATTCTTTTTAAATTGATATTTTTCGAACGTTTTGGTTGATTTTGTTCTTTCATATATTAACAAATGTAACGTCTTGAGGTTCGAATTTTATGTCTTTCAAGTTTTGTTAAAACTGGTCAGTAGAATACCGAGTTAGTGCCATTTGAATTGCTCCTCTTTTTTTATACACCCGGTACCAAGAGGAGAGTGAGTCTGATGTTTGCTTTGCTATTTCTCTCTTAAAACAAACCTTTGCGCAAGTCAAACACGAGTCATCTAAACCTTGGTTTTTTCTAACTCGAGGACCAGACAGAAACTGCTGGCAGCCCGGATCTGGCTCACGGGCCACAGTTTGCCAATGCCTGTTCTATACTTTCCAAAGATAAGGAAACTATAAACTGTCTTAATCTTCTTTTTCGCTGTTAACCCATTACTTTTTATGCACTTGCACAACACGAAAACGCCTTTATGAAGGACAGAGAAATAAAAAAGCCCAAAACGCTAGAACAAAGTTTAATCGAAGAAAAAAGTAAAACGAAAGTTTATATGAAGTAAAAGCAAGAAAGAAAGCTAATAATATGATGAGTTTTTCCCTGTACCATCCGACGGTCATTCACCTGAAAGAGCTATCACGTGACGTGCGAAGTCTTTACTTAAACTCTATATGTCTAACGAAGTCAGCGATTGAATCGGAATTTTTTTTTCTTCATTCACATTATCAGTCTTGTATGTTTCCTTTACTTCTTGCTCTTGGGTAAATTTAGACGCACTATTACTCAATTTGTTCAGAAAGCATTTTAGAAGGCAGCGCCATTAGCTCAGTTCGCGAGGCGCTAACAACAATGGGAAACCTTGGAGCGAATCCCGTTCTCGTTTTGAATTGTGGATGTTGTGCACCCCTCCCCCCCCCCTTTTTTAAAAAATAAATGTTATCAAATGAGGTAGTACTTGTTGAAGCCCAAGTGGGACGCTCACTGTTAAAAACAATCAGGGAACGACAAATGCAGTTTTTGGCTGAATAGACATAAAGGTTCGGAACATCTAGCTCTCACTGGCAAAATTGAAGACAAACGCGGCAGGGGAAGGCCCAGAGCAGCTTACTTAGGAAACTTTAACATATGGGTAACGGGGAAAGATCAGGTAAACGAGCATCCGAGCAAAGGAATGAATGGAGAACCGTGATCGCCTCTGATCTGGCACTGGATGATGACCCCTCCCCCCCCCCTCCCTGCTCTGTCTCGGCATCAGTAGACGTCAAAGGAGATTCCATCGTCTTATGTTAGTTCTTAGTAAGGTTTTTTACGGCGTTCGCAACTACATACGGTCATATAAGCGCCAAGAAGTGGATGTCATCAAAGAAATCCGAACGGGGAATCAGGCTTACTCTGCTTACCTCTCTAGCCTCAACAGCACAAAGTCTGCTTCGACTATCAAGGCACCCCGGAAATAGCAATTCACAAGAGAGTGATAAACATACAAAAGAAGTAGAGGGAAAATGACGATTGTAAGAATGAGGAAAGAAAAAGTAGCAGTTCTCCTTATGTTGTTCCGGTACAGTATGAGCAGGACATTGATAAATCAGCCCATTTACAATTCTACTGTGCATAAGAGCTTGTTAGCATCCCCCCTTTGGGAATGGCCTAAAGACAACTTCAGTCAGTAACACTGCCCTGGTGGGGAATTCATCGTCTTAGAAAAAAAAGAAAGAAACATTCTTTGTGCTGAAATACAACGTAATTGTGTAAATCAAATCCATCTCAAACTTGGAAAAATAGGTGCAGTAGAGTTGAGAATTATCATGAGGCCTCGGGGAACTGCGTGACAGAAGAAGACACACACACACACACACACACACACACACACACACACACACACACACACACACACACACACACACACACACACAACTTCCCCCTAGCGGCGTTCCCAAAACGTCTACCTCTACTTTCTTAGGCCCTGTGGGGCACGAATTGTTATTATAATGAGCTGCAAGTATATATAATGTGGCAGGTGAACGAACGCTAAATCAAGAATACCGCTACATGTAAGAATGGTTAGAAAGGGAAGGGCAGAAAAGGGGATCACTTATTCGTCCCTGTTGAATTTGGTTCACAATAACGTTGGAGTCAAAAATAAATATCTCAATTCGACAGTAGACAGAGGCAGAGAAGAAAAATATCGACCAGACGTTCAATAAGACAGACATGGCGAATACGTCTGTGAGTTTAACCTATCTGCTCTTTATAAAATTAAAAGAGAGAGCGCAAGAACGTTTACCTTTTAATGGATGTGGAAGAAAAAAGGGGGCTTTTTTGTCGTTTGGTTGGGGGGGTTTTGGCATCCGAGTGGAGAAATATGATCGTCTATTTCAGACCTGGTACTTAATTAAAGAAGATGATTAATGGCCGTGGATGATGATAATATATCTTTAAATTTACATATCTTCTCTCTCTCTCTCTCTCTCTCTCTCTCTCTCTCTCTCTCTCTCTCTCTCTCTCTCTCTCTCTCTGTTTCTCTGTTCCGGATCATTATCTTATCTTAGAGACCTTCTGTTATGCAAATATGATGTCAGTGAAGATTAGTCGATAAGCGACGCAGTTCTGTAGAAGACTGGTAATTTCCAAGGGAAAAGAAATACAAAAAGGATCAGGAATTTTAAACTTTCCATCGACACGAGGAACAAGAACGGCGGCACTATTCAACTGATCAATCTATCGATCAGCCTGCCTGTCAAACTGCTAATGAATCATTCAGTGCACTAGGCCAGAAAGGAGGGCCTCTTTGGAGAAAAAAAGTGAGGGCAAAAAGCCCCCTC